TTTTATCTAGAGCATTTTTATCACATTTGGATGATTTTGTTCAATTCAATCATTTTGTCGATGTGATGATAGTTGATGATTCTTTCTTTATTTGTTTTTTTAATTTAATTTTTTTTATATTCTTTTTTATTCGTTCTTCTTCCGTTCTTTTTTTCTTATTCATTTTATTTAGAGCATTTTTATCTAATTTGAATGATTTCGGTCAATTCAATCATTCTGTCGATGTGTCGATAGTTGATGATTCTTTTTTTATTTATGTTTTTGCATTATTTATATTACTAACTTAAAGTTTCTTTACTTTTTTCTCTTGACAATTTTATCTTTAATTCAAATTTCAATGATCGGTCTGTCACAATGAAAATAAGTGATTTGCCTTTTTTTCTTTTTTAGTTTTTTTTTTGTATTATTTCACATTTTTATTTTTTTCTTGACAATTTTTAGGTTAGATTCAGATTTCGATTAGATCAATCAGGTTTTTTTAGATTACTAATTATTTTGTCTTTTTATTTAATTAATTAAATTAGTGATTAAAAAGTTAGGCTTATTTTTTTACAATATATAAACGAGTGAAATAATAAACAATAATAAAAAGAAAATTTCATCATGCATCTGACTATACCGCTATAATAAACTGATCAATCTGAATTTAAAGAAATCGTCCTAGAGAGAATAGAAAAAAATTTAATAAAAAAAGGAAAAAATGGGATTAGTAATCCCAATCAATGTAAAAAAAGGATCGAGTCATCATGCATCTGACTGTGTTATCGCAATGAGCTGAAGGTCCATTTAAAATGCTTTGCTCACATTCATCTAAAAGGGCAGAATCCGTTCTAACCTACAAAATCGAAAAAAAGTGATTATTAATTTTATATATTTTTTTTATTCGCCTCCCTCTTCCTGGTTTAATTTTTTTATTAATTTTTATTGTTTTTCTATTTAGTTTTTCTATTTTTATTCGTCCCCCTTCCCCCTGTTATTATTTTTTTAGTTTTTTTTTTTTTTGTTTTACTATTTCGTTTTTATATGTTAAATATTTTTTTTATTTTTATTCGTCTAAATAAATTTTTTTTTCTATTTAGTTTTTATATATGGCCCCACAGCAAAAGGGGGACCAACCCGATTTTGAGATTTCATAATTATCACATGACTATTGACCTAACCTTTTGGGGAATATCTTTTTCCGACCATAATATATTTATTAGTAGAAAAGGCGTAATTTTGAAAATTTTTGTAAAAGAATCCTTATATTTTAAATAATATGCAAACTTCATTAAGGCTATAAATTTACACATTTCATGATATAAGTAAAATATATGTATTAAAAGAAGGCTAATGCTATCAATTAATTTCTTGCGAAATTTCGTCCTAAGTTATAAAGGCCGTTTTTGAGAAATCTTAATTTTTCTGCGGTGATCGCCAAAAAATGATCACGTGACTTAAATAGGATTTTTCTCGAAATCACATGATCGTCCCGTCCCCCCTTTTTGCTGTGGGGGGCCCATATATATATTTTTATTAGTTCCTCTCTATTTTTTTTTTATTAATTTTCTTTATTTTTTTAGATTTTATATTTTTATTTTTTTTTATTCGTCTTCCCTTCTTTCGTTTAATTTTTTTTAATTTTATTTTATTTAATTTTATTCTTATTTGATTTAATAATTTGAATTTTACCTTTTTTTCTTAATTATTAATAATAACAATTGCGATTTTAAATATACTGGAGATTTATTATTTCTGAAACCTGAAGATTATCCTAGCTTAATTGCTAATAAAAATTATAAACAATAAAAATAATAATAAAAAGAAAATTTTGTCACGCACCTGACTGCGTCACTTTGAATAACTGAAGGGTGTCACATTCGAAAGGGCGGAATCAGTCCTAACCAAAATTAAAAAAAGCTATTAGATTTTATTAATAATCAAAAAAAAATAAGTAAAATAATAAAAAAAGTTACCCACCTTACTGCATCGCTATGACAAACCAAAGTGGAGAATCTACCGATCTAACCGATATACAACGGACCATCATTAAAGACAACTTTTTGCTTTTTAATGTTATGGATACTATAGGATCCGACCCATTCACCGTCTATGTAGAGATCTGCTCTCTTTTCAGGATCAGAAAGTGTATAAGCTACATGATACCATCTATCTAATAGAAGTTCGTCGCCGAGACCGCTAATTCCTGCAGTATAACTCCAGTTGCCCGTGAAGCAAGCTTGCAATGAGAATTTGTTTGGCATCAACTCGAGCCTAGGAGTACGGACTGAATCAATGGTACCTATAATGCATGTAAATTAAATATGTGACCGAGAATTTGGTGTTCTAAAAAATAACTTTTAGTCAAAAAATATCTCACTGGCTAAAAGAAAAAAATTAGTCATACCTTTGTGAAAAATAGTAGCCCAACTGGAAGTAAGTTTCTGAAGCTTTAGTCGTAATGTAACCGACAGCTCATCTTTCACTGCAGGCAAGTTACCATGTTCAAAGACTTGATGAGATTGATCATTAAAGATAATGGGGTCTGAAATAAGTTCCGCCCACTCTTTAACGATAAATTTCTTCATCTTCTGGTAGTAAATAATAATCAATTTGCCGAATGACGTTTTATTTCATTAATAAATCAAAGTTAAATAAATGCATTTTTAAAATTACATCGTTTTTGATTAACCTATGGTAATTTCTCATTTTTCGTTACTAAAAACCCAGCCCTCTTAAATACGAATTTTTTATCACTTAAATGGTAAAGATCTTCATTTTGCCGTTTTTCCCAGGCTTTTCCTTTTTTGGTTAGAATAATTTTATTTTTTACAATTCAATCATTTCTATTAATAAGAATGAAATAACAGCCTCATACGGAATTTTCACATGATATTACATAACTATATTTTTTGAATTCGATTAATTTTTTTTTTTGTACGAATATTCTTTTAGTTGTCTATAATTTTTCAACTTAATAAATCAAAACCATTGAGACAATTTCGAACATTCTGGAATATACTACATTTTTCGTATTACTGAGCTTACTAATTATTAATACAGTTTTGTAAAGATCCTCACATTTTAAAATCAAATACAAGAAAAATAGTTTTAAGCAACACAGTTCTTCCGGCAACCTCACGTTCCTGAACAAAAACCATATTTTTAACAACCCTAAAGCAAACAAAATTACTTACCAAAGTGCAAATAAAATTAAAGAGACGTATGACGTCTCAGTCAAAACATTGCGATGATGGATCAACTCTAGAAGAATTGCTATTGTCAGGACACTTGGTGGAAAATGACTCTATTCAATCACAGACATACGAGGAATCTTTAAAGACAACCCGATACAGCCCATATAAAAGGCTAAGGTCTGCTACGCCAGAGTCAGTTCAGAGCATCAAAGAGGTGACCTTAAACGATAAATTGCAAATCTCCAACAGCACTACCCAGAATACAAAATCGTCAGCGACATTAGTTCAGAGTTCAACTGAAAATGCAGAGGGTTTGTTGCCCTTCTAAAACGAATACACATAGGAGGAATTAAAGAAGTAATAGTTAACTGAAAGGTTTGAGTTTAATTATTTGTTTGCTTTGATTTATTGTTTTTATTTTGCTAACTTTTTTATTATGACCGATTGTGTCATTTTGGATTTGAGCTTGTAAAATGGATCTTTGAGAAGAATGGGACTCAGCTCATGATATTCAATACGGTTGTTAATGCTAAAAGTAGTGAAGCTAGAGAACTTGCAGAAGATTTGCTTGCAATCGTCATAGTGTTTGTAACATGATATAATGGATTATGTTCAGCTGAAAATCACAAAAAGAGAAGAAATGTTGCCCAAAAGTTCCAAGAAGTCTAAGAAAGAAGTGAAGAAACCTCTAGCAGGCAAGGTATAATGGATTCGTATTTATCCCAACTAGCAGGGAGCGTTTGAAACTCAGAAGATAGATGGAAACAGCATGATGGATATACAATCAGTGTCTTACTGCAGTCAAAAAAGAAGATATCAATCAAAAAAGAAGAATCTATGTGCAATATGTCTTAACGCCAAAAACTTCATTAATACCAACCTCAAATGGGTTTATGAAACTCCCTATGACATTCGTGATGAAACAATGAATGACTTGCTTAAAGGATATTCTTCTAACTTTGCTTTTAATCGTAAAAAATTTAATATGAAATTTCGTTTTAAAAAAGATTCTCAGCAGTCTATTGCAATTTTATCAAAGTATTGGAGTAAATCTCATAGTGAATATTCATTTCTTCATAAAATCAAGTCATCAGAATCTCTTTCAGAAAAACTTGAACATGATAGCTGACTTATTCTGAATCAGCTTGGTGAATTTTATCTTTGTGTATCCAAATCACTTAAAATACAGGCTGAAAACTAAGATCTTATATTTCAAAAGATTTTTATCTATTTTTTTTTATTATTTATATTATCTTTTAAATTAAAACTTCAATTAATTATATATTTAATAATTTAATAGGAAGAATCAGGCGTAATTTCTCTAGATCCAGGTGTACGTACATTCATAACTGGTTATAATCTAAGCAGAACAGCTATTGAATGAGGAAAAAATGACATTGTTCGAGTTTACAGATTATGTCATGTATATGACAAACTTCAAAGCAAGTGTGATCAAATTTATGGAAAAAAATAAGTGAAAATGTTACAGGTAAAATTTATTTATTAATTATTTATTTATTTTAATATTTATTTATAATTTAATGTATTTACTACTTTTTAATTATAGATTACATCATGTTATGCTACGAATTTATAAGAAAATCCATTGTCTTGTGAATGATTATTATTATAAGCTAGCTAAATGGCTTTGTGAAAACTATCGTATAATACTACTACCTGAATTTTGCATCCAAGAAATGGTCTGACATAAACAATGACGCATTAGTTCTAAAACAGCTCAAGTCATATATACATGGTCACATTATCTAGAGTTTTAAATTCCAATAAAAAATTTGATATAAAAATTCCATAAAAATATTAAGTTTTATAATGTATAACTTTTATGGAAAATCAGT